ATAATATTAGATTTAGCCATGTTAACCTCTGAGCCCCATTCATTCATCAAGGGCATCCGGCTTTCTTTGCAAGAAAATAACACAATCACCAGTTAAAGGTATATCATCAGCATACAACAATGATTAGATTTCATTGGTAGCCTGTGAAACAAAAATACCTCTCGAGCCTAGATCCTTTAAATGAAGAAGATAAACAAAACAGGAGTGAGCATTCAACCATGACGCACTCCACATGATGTGCTGAATGAACCTGATTTATAATTGTCTGCTCTAATACAAGCTTTAACTTTACCATAGTACATCCACATCCCTTGAATGTTATAAATGTTTGTGTTTGTCTATCTACCAAATCAAAGGCTTTTCGAAAATTTATAAATGCCACATAAAAACTATGTTTGGGTTTCCTTAGACATTTCTGACAAAATGCGTGTAAAACGAATACATTATCAACCGTTGAATGATCACTTCTTAAACCCGTTTTCGCCTCATCAATTATCTCATTCTTCTTTCTAACACTGAAGTAAATATCTTAACCACACCAGTGATTTGGATGATTTTTAGCTTGTCTAATTTCATACCAATAAGAAATATCTTCTGACAGTCCATTGTCAGCCGTCACAAACGGATGCAAGGCACGTCAAGTGGTCGCCTCAACAAACATGGGAACATATGGTAATAGTCAAAATAGGGAGTGAGTGAGTGAGTTGGGTTTAACGCCACTTTTAACAGTATTCCAGTTATATGACGGCGTGTCAGCTTTATGTGGGAGGAAAGCCCGAAGTGATGGAGGTCTCAGACGTTTACCACTTCGGTGAAACCCACGAGCACGGGTATGGTGCTGACAAACCTAGAAACATAATCTGGGCGAACCGGGATTCGAACCCACAATCATAGGTTTCTGGCGTGCCCAAGGGACGCAACTCTGCACAGCGAATCGCGGCGCCTTAGACGACTGGGCCACCCGTGCCCCCTCTAAATAGGGAATGGTATCGGACATCATCTTTGTCACTGGTGCGTACAATATTGAAATGGAAACCATAAGTAACAACCAAAAATCAGCCAAAGCGTGTCCTTCAAATTGACGGTAAGACAATAATGCTGCAAACCTGCACTCTCCAAATGTCACCTTTATGAAGCAGCCTTAGTGACCTTTATTCGTAGACACATTACCCAAGTGCAGTTGCTCAAGTCCTCGTCATAAACAGCGACAGTAAAAACGACATGATATTACTTGAGTGACAACCACCCTCAGAGGGCCTCTTTCTTAGCTTCATCTGACAGGGGTGGGGTGAGATGGGGTGTTGTTGCTAGGCTTTTATAAACATACTTTCTTCCAGAAAAACACTTGAAATTTAATAGTGGGTCCCTAATTATATAAAAGCAAAGTTGTTGTTTTTTTACCGGATTGCTAACATACATACTATAACAGTGCCAAAATCTTTACATTTTTCTTCAACTTTTTATCAAATTCAAATATATTCTACTACTTTAAGTTTCACATTCCCAACCCAGTAAACACTGCATTGTATCCAGTACTTGTATCATAATACGTAACGCTTGGATATTTTCTCACTTCTCGCAGAAAATGGAGATTGCATATCAATACTAGTAAAACAAAAATTATTTGTTTTTGGTGGTACAAAAAGAGACGAGTAAACATATATTATTAAATGGCTCATCAATCGAATATGTCACTGATCATAAATATCTTGGAATTCACTTTACAAATAAAAACTCTTTCAAAACTTCTATAAAAGCACAATTGTGAATCTGCCACGAAGGCCATGTACTTTGTATTACGTAAAAGTAGAACATTTAATCTACCCATAAAATGTCAATTATATGTCTTCGATGCTATGGTAAAACCAATTCTATTATATGGTGGTGAAATCTGGGGGTTTGAAAATTGTAAACAAATTGAATCTGTTCACCTTAACTTTCTACGTAAATTACTTCCCATTAAGAAAAGTACACCTTTATACATGTTGTATGGAGAACTTGGAAGATTACCGTTAAGTACTTCTATCAAATGCCGAATGGTATGTTTTGGGTCTAAGGTCTTATCTTATTCTATATCAAATGTTATACAATGAAGTCTGTACAAACAATAGCTGTAAAATATGGATAAAATGTTTGGTAAGTATTTTCAATGAAAGGGGCTTCAGTTTCTATTGGTTAAGCCAACAAGCCATTCCTCCTAATGTCCTTAAGTCTATCATGTCGTTAACATTGTCAGATATAGCAACTCAAACATGGAATGCAGAGATTACACATTCTTCTAAAGGTATCACATATCGCATATTTAAAACTGAACTCGTCCTTGAAAAGTATTTGTTAGTTATCCCTTTCTCGTTGGCTGTAAAATTCCTTCTGTTTAGAACCTCATGCCACCATTTACCTATGGAACCAGGTAGGTGGCACAAAATCCCTGCCAGTGAAGGAAAGTGTAAACTCTGCGACATGAGCAATGTTGGTGAATTCCGTTATATTTTTGTTTGTCCTTTTTTCAAACCCCAACGGAAAATATATGTTCCAATTTCATATGCTAAAACCCCAAATATGTTTAAATTTAAAGAGCCTTTTAATTGTAAAAAGATAAATGTTATTAAGAAACACTGTACATTCTGTAATGTCATTATGAAAACTGTAAAATCTTCCATGTAAACCATCCTGCCATCTTATGTATTTACTGTTTGCAAATTTGTACCTCATATGCCGAGGATCCCGGCCTGAGCATAAATAAAGTTCTGTTCTGGAGATGCAAGCTGTCGAAATCAATCAGACGAAATGGCAGATGCTAATCAGCTAGCACAATAGAAATTCTAGGCCCTGATGACCAGTTTCTGACACGACCGACCAGCCTATAAACAATTAACTAAGAAAACCAGCACATCAAAACTTGCATACTTTGACCAACATGTGGTAAGCTATTGTTATCAATTTCAAACTGGACTGATGGGTCATTCCTGCATTTCGCCTGAGAACCTCTCTGTCTGTTTTTTAAAGATAAGTCACTTTTAGTTATTACTTTGCCAGTTTTTGTTAAATTTGCTGTAAATAATTCTAACTTTGTTACTCTGCTGGTACAATGAACTTATGTTACAGTTAATCAAAAAGTACGGTTCGAAATCTACGATTTGGCGGCTATGTGTTAATTTCGTGTAGTTCAACTAGACATCAAATACTATACTGAATAATAGAGAATAATAGACAGTCCCCGATTAAATACCAGCATTAGAATTCCAGTCGTTTAAGTATCAGTCTAACATATTACACCATTTTAGTTATGGAAGTCGTGGATGCTTATTAAACATTATGTTCAATGTGTATAACGTTTTCTGTATCAAGTGACTTGGTGGTCAACGTGTTCTATGATCTGCATTTATATTTTTTGTCATGTTATTCGACTCATTGTTTGTATTTTCACGGGAAACATTTCATGTTTCAATATAATGATAGCATAGCATCGGCAGCTGAATGTATTTATTTAAAGCTAACCAGTCTGAATAGAATACACGAAAAGTAAAACTGTTTCTCTAGCTAAATACACACAGACTTGGCAATGTCTTTTAAATATTTTTCATATAAGTGCATCCGCACTATCGTGAGGCGCCGGTAGATTGTGTGTTTCATGTTGTAGAGTAGTCTATAAAGATATAGGCATTTCAGTGGCAGTCTCATATAAAAGAGTTACAACACTGCGAATCTCCAGCATTTCTTTTATCAACTCTTTCTCATGTTATAAGTTAGGGCGGTCGGGTAGCCTGGTGGTTAAAGCGTTCGCTCGTCACGCCGAAGTCCCGGGTTCGATTCCAGACATGGGTACAATGTGTGAAGCCCATTTCTGGTGTCCCCCGCCGTGATATTGCTGAAATATTGCTAAAAGCGGCGTAAGTCCATACTCACTCACTCACTCACTGTTATAAGTTTTTTATTTATAATTGGTAAACGTCAGAAGTTTTTGTGACACCTGGCCCAGTGTTAAAATGTTTAATCATCATTACCTTGAAGTAAGTATCGGCAGTTACCTCGTTTTAGTAAAGGCTACGGTTCGACGCACGCTCGGCCGTCAGCCATTGTTCACGTGGTGCACGCACCGTGACCCCGGCTTCAGCCCGAGGTATCTGTACCGTCGTTATCCCATTATCCGTCGTTATCGTTATACAGCAACTATGTTATCATTGTAATATTTTCAACTAGGCACCAGTAATGTACTTCACTTATTTCACACTTGAACTGTTATATTGAGAATATGAAGTAATTAAGTTTAAGAATATTCGGAATGAATTATTAAGTGAAAGTATTTTACTTTACTGTAATGAAGAATTCATTATACAAGAAGAGTGTTGAAGGATCATCATTTATGTCCATACTTTAACTGAATTTATGAATGATGTAAGTTATGAATATGATTGACATTCACGGAGCGCAATGTGTAAGTGACCATGGCGCTTATAATATAGTACCTTAATGAGTCCACTCTTATATAACTCACTATCATTTCCTAACTATTAATTTCAATATATAAATGCTTTACAACATACAGCCAAACATCATCCAAGTATTCTTTTTTATAGTTAAAACATCCTAATGAGCAATTAACGCTAATTGCTCATTAGGATGTTTTAACTATGAAAAAGAATACTTAGATGCTGTTTGACTGTATGTTGTTGCCTCTGAGATCACATATCATAAGCATTTCTGCATTTCGCCTGAGAACCTCTCTGTCTGTTTTTGAAGGCGTGGAGATCCCGGAGTTAATTTCCCGCAACAATTCTAGGCATAAACAGTCCTTAAAACAGACTGTTTCAATTCTACAAACGTCAGAGCGAAGGCGATGTACACCTCGCGTAGGTTTTAGTACCCACATGAATCATTTAATGTCAACATTAGAAGGATCTGTCAGAGCTTATATCAATCATATTCATATTCGTGTCCTGTTGGGAGGTGAGTTATATTTGAAGACACACGTGGAATATGTTGTTATTGTGACATTTTAATGGTACTTTAGAAACAAAATTGCATATGTTAAACTTCATTAGTCGACTGCATAGATACCAGCATTTGTTGAATTCTTAGTATCGATGAATAGTCACTGCTTCGGCTATGGCTAGAGGTAGAATATCTTCTAGTTGTACTTTATATGTAGCGGATATGCCATGTGATGAATACAGGGCAACGCCAGGGTGTATTGAAGAACAGTAGCCATGCTATGAGGTGCCCATGTTTCAATGATCTGCGATTACATTACAGCCAGTGCCATGGTACGTACATCCCGTTCCTATTTGAATAGTGTTAGAGACTCGGTGGCTTTGTGCCTTCACTACTTTGTCTACTAGTGGCTGTCATTACAGTTCATGGGAACAACAAAGGGACGCGGCTTAGATTGACGGGGAGGGCGCGGATGCACAATGGTTTAAGATGACATAGTCTACAGAACCAAATGTTCACGTTATTCCGTATTCATGATTCGTTTATCCAGACAAGTGTCGCGTGGGCGATTTCACATTGCATCAACACCGCACTGATTATCCAGATTTCAGTGTACAAGTGTCTCGTCTTTGTAAATTCTCAATATCTAATATGTTTTAGATATATTTGTTTTAAATTACTTCGAACTTGTTTGTTAACATGGACTTCTTTTGGCCCCTATTGGAATAAAATGTATTACTATGTCAGTTAATAAAAAAGGATATGTAGAGTGTACATGTGTTAGGACATGTATCATCATCTCATTTTAAGGACATGTACCATCATCTCATTTTTAAGGACATGTACAATCATCTCATTTTTAAGGACACGTACCATCATCTCACGTGTAAGGACACGTTTCATCACCCCATGTGTAAGGACATGTATCATTATCACATATGTATGAACATGTAACATCATCACAGTGTAAGGACATATACCATCATCACAGTGAAAATACATGTACCCTCATTTCCATGTAAGGACATGCACCATCATAACAGTATAAAGACACGTGCCATCATCACAGTTAAGGTACATGTACCATCATCACAATGTAAGGACATGTACCCTGATCTCAATGTAAGGACATGTAACATCATCGCAATGCAAGGACATGTACCACCATCACAATGTTAGGACATGTACCATGATCAACGTGTAAGGACATGTACCATCATCACAATGTAAGGACATGTGCCCTGATCTCAATGTAAGGACATGTACCATCATCACAGTGTAAGGACATGTACCATCATCGCAATGTAAGGACATGTACCACCATCAGAATGTAAGGACACGTACCATCATCAAAATGTAAGGACATGTACCACCATCAGAATGTAAGGACACGTACCATCATCAAAATGTAAGGACATGTACCACCATCACAGTGTAAGGACATGTACCATCATCAAAATGTAAGGACATGTACCATCATCAAAATTTAAGGACATGTACCATCATCACAGTGTAAGGACATGTACCATCATCGCAATGTAAGGACATGTACCACCATCAGAATGTAAGGACATGTACGATCATCAAAATGTAAGGACATGTACCACCATCACAGTGTAAGGACATGTACCATCATCAAAATGTAAGGACATGTACCATCATCAAAATGTAAGGACATGTACCATCATCACAATATAAGAACATGTACCACCATCACAGTGAAGGTATATGTATCATCGTCACAGTGTAAGTACATGTACAATCAGCACAAAATGAGGAGATGTACCATCATCTTATATATAAGTACATGAACCATCATTAGAATATACCGACATGTATCATCATCTCATATATAAGAACATGTAGTACCTTGTACCCTCAACACAAAATAAGGATAAGTACAATCATCACAATTCAAGGACATGTTTCACCATCGCATATGTAAGGACATGTACCATCAATCACATATGTAAGGACATGTACCATCATCTCATGTGTTAGGACATGTATCATCATCACAATGTGAGGGCATGCACATCACATCATGTGTTAGGACATGTACCATCAATCACATATGTAAGGACAGGTACCGTCATCTCATTTGTTAGGACATGTATCATCATCACAATTTCAGGGCACTCACATCACATCATGTGTTAGGACATGTACCATCATCACATATGTAAGGACAGGTACCCTCATCTCATGTGTTAGGACATGTATCATCAACTCATGTGTAAGGAAATGTACCATCATCTCATTCTTAAGGACATGTACAATCATATCATTTTAAAGGACATATACCATCATCACATATATAAGAACATGTACCATCATCACATGTGTAAGGACATGTGCCATCATCAGAATGTAAGGACATGTACCATCATTTCATGTGATAGAACATGTACCATCATCACATATCTAACGGCATGTACTATCATCAGTCGTGTAAGGACATGTACAATCATCAGAATGTAAGTACATGTACCATAATCTCACGTGTTAGGACATGTACCATAATCTCACGTGTTAAGACATGTACCATCATCTCACGTGTAATGACATGTATCATTATCACATATGGTAGGACATGATCCATCATCACATATGTAAGGACATGTACCATCATCACATATTAAAGACATGTACCATCATCTCACGTGTAATGGCATGTATCATTATCACATATGTAAGGACGTGTACCATCATCACATTGAAAGGACATGTACCATCATCTCATGTGTAAGGACATGAACCATCGTCTCACGTGTAATGACATGTATCATTATCACATATGTTAGGACATGTACAATCACCTCATTTGTAAGGACATGTACCATCATCACACATTAAAGATATCATCTAGTGTTTTACGACATGTTCAATCATCTCGTGTGTTAGGACAAATTCCATCATCACATATGTACGGACATGTACCATCGTCTCACGTGTATTGACATGTACCAACATCAGATCGTAAGGACATGTACCATCATCACAATGTAAGGACATGTACCATCATCACAATGTAAGGACATGTACCATCATCACATATGTAAGGACATGTACCATCATTTCATGTGTTAGGACATGTACCATCATCACATATGTAAGGACATGTACCATCATTTCATGTGATAGATGTACCATCATCAGAATGTAAGTACATGTACCATAATCTCACGTGTTAGGACATGTACCACAATATCACGTGTTAAGACATGTACCATCATCTCACGTGTAATGGCATGTATCATTATCACATATGTAAGGACATGTACCATCATCACATATGTAAGGACGTGTACCATCATCACAATGAAAGGACATATACCATCGTCTCACGTGTAATGACATGTATCATTATCACATATGTTAGGACATGTACCATCATCACATATGTAAGGACATGTACCATCATCACATATTAAAGACATGTACCATCATCTCACGTGTAATGGCATGTATCATTATCACATATGTAAGGACATGTACCATCATCACATATGTTAGGACATGTACCATCATCACATATGTAAGGACATGTACCATCATCACATATTAAAGACATGTAACATCATCTCACGTGTAATGACATGTACCATCAGTTCTTATATAAGGACATGTACCATCATCACAATGAAAGGACATGTACCATTATCTCACGTGTAATGACATGTACCATCATCACAATATAAGGCATGTACCATCATCACAATGTATAATCATGTACAATCACCTCATTTGTAAGGACATGTACCATTATCACAATGTATAATCATGTACAATCACCTCATTTGTAAGGACATGTACCATCAGCACACATTAAAGATATCATCTAGTGTTTTACGACATGTTCAATCATCTCGTGTGTTAGAACAATTTCCATCATCACATATGTACTGACATGTACCATCATCTCACGTGTATTGATATGTACCAACATCAGATCGTAAGGACATGTACCATTAGTTCATATATAAGGACATGTACCATCATCACAATAAAATGACATGTACCATCATCTCACGTGTAAGGACATGTACCATCATCACAATATAAGGGCATGCACCATCATCACAATGTATAATCATGTACAATCACCTCATGTGTAAGGGGGGCAGTCGGGTAGCCTAGTGGTTAAAGCGTTCGCTCGTCACGCCGAAGACCCGGGTTCGATTCCCGACATGGGTACATTGTGTGAAGCCCATTTCTGGTGTCCCCCGCCGTGATATTGCTGGAATATTGCTAAAAGCGGCGTAAAACAATACTCACTCACTCACTCATATGTAAGGACATGTACCATCATCACAATGTATAATCATGTACAATCATCTCATGTTTAAGGACATGTACCATCATCACATTGAAAGGACATGTACCATCGTCACAATGTGAGGACATGTACCCTCATTACATATGTAAGGACATGTACTATCATCACAATGTAAGGACATGTACCATCATAACAATGTTAGGGCACGTATCATCATCACATATGTAAGGACATGTAACGTCACCACATATGTAAGGACATGTACCTTCATCAGAATGAAAGGACATGTACCATCATCACAATGTAAGGACATGTACCATCATCTCGTGTGTAAGGACATGTACCATCATCAGAATGTAAGGACATGTACCATCATCACAATGTAAAGGCATGTACCATCAGCACAAAATGAGGAGATGTACTATCATCTCGTGTGTTAGGACATGTATTATCATCACATATGTAAGGAGATGTACCATCATCAGAATGTAAAGACATGTACCATCATCTCACGTGTAAGGACATGTACCATCTTCACAATGAAAGGACATGTACCATCATCACAATGTAAGGAGATGTACCATTGTCACAATGTAAGGACATGTACCATCATCACAAATGTAAGGACATGTACCATCATCCGAATGAAAGGACATGTACCATCATCACAATGTAAGGACATGTACCATCATCACAATGTAAGGACATGTACCATCATCAGAATGTAAGGACATGTACCATCATCTCACGTGTAAGGACATGTGCCATCTTCACAATGAAAGGACATGTACCATCATCACAATGTAAGGACATGTACCATCGTCACAATGTAAGGACATGTACCATTATCACATATGTAAGGACATGTACCATCATCAGAATGAAAGGATAAGTACCATCATCATATCATTATCACATATGTCAGGACATGTACCATCATCACATATGTAAGGACATGTACCATAATCACATATTAAAGACATGTAGCATCATCACAATGTAAGGACATGTACCATCACCAGAATGTAAAGACTTGTATCATCATTTCATGTGTAAGGACATGTACCATCGTCTCACGTGTAATGACATGTATCATTGTCACATATGTAAGGACATGTACCATCATCACATATGTAAGGACATGTACCATCATCACATATTAAAGACATGTACCATCATCTCACATGTAATGACATGTACCATCAGTTCCTATATAAGGACATGTACCATCATCACACATGTAATGGCATGTACCATCATCACATATGTAATGGCATGTACCATCATCACATATGTAATTGCATGTACCATCATCACATATGTTAGGACATGTACCATCATCACAATATAAGGGCATGTACAATCATAAAAATCTATAATCATGTACAATCACCTCATGTGTAAATATGTAAGAACATGTACCATCATCACATATGTAATGGCATGTACCATCATCACATATGTTAGGACATGTACCATCAATACAATATAAGGGCATGTACCATCATAAAAATCTATAATCATGTACAATCACCTCATGTGTAAATATGTAAGAACATGTACCATCATCACATATGTAATGGCATGTACCATCATCACAATGTAAGGACATGTACCATCATCACATATGTAATGGCATGTACCATCATCACAATGTAAGGACATGTACCATCATCACAATGAAAGGACATATACCACCATCTCACGTGTAATGAAAAGTACCATCATCACATATGTAAGGACATGTACCATCATCTCACGTGTAAGGACATGTGCCTTCAACTCATGTGCTGAACATGTACCTTCAGATCATGTGTTAGGACATGTATTATTATCACATATGTAAGAGGATGTACCATCATCACATATGTAAGGACATGTATCATCATCACAATGAAAGGACATGTACCATAATCTCACGTGTAAAGACATGTACCATCAGCTCATGTGTTAGGACATGCGCCATCATTTCTTGTGTTAGGCCATGTATCATCATCACATATGTAAGGACATGTATCATCATCACATATGTATGGACATGTACTATCATCTCACGTGTAAGGACATGTACCATCATCACATATGTTTAGACATGTACCATCATCACAATGAAAGGACATGTACCATCACCTCATGTACAAGGACATGTGCCATCATCTCATGTGTAATGACATGTCAAAACAAGGACATAAGAAGATGGACCATCATCGGAATGTAAGGACATGTACCATCATCACAATGTAGACACGTGCAATCATCATAATGTAAAGACATGTACCATCACCACAATGTAAGGACATGTACCATCACCACAATGTAGACACGTACCATCACCACAATGTAAGGACATGTACCATCATCCCAATGTAGACACGTGCCATCATCATAATGTAAGGACATGTACCATCACCACAATGTAGACACGTACCATCATCATAATGTAAGGACATGTACCATCACCACAATGTAGACACGTACCATCATCATAATGTAAGGACATGTAGCATCACCACGATGTAGACACGTACCATCATCATAATGTTAGGACATGTACCATCACCATAATGTAGACACGTACCATCATCATAATGTAAGGACATGTACCATCACCACAATGTAGACACGTACCATCATCACAAAGTAAGGACATGTACCATCATCACAATGTAGACACGTAACACCATCATAATGTAAGGACATGTACCATCACCACAATGTAGACACGTACCATCATCATGATGTAAGGACATGTACCATCACCACAATGTAGACACGTACCATCATCACAATGTAAGGACATGTACCATTATCACATATGTTTGGACATGTACCATCATTACAATGAAAGGACATGTACCATCACCTCATGTGCAAGGACATGTGCCATCATCTCATGTGTAATGACATGTCAAAACAAGGACATAAGAAGATGGACCATCATCGAAATGTAAGGACATGTACCATCATCACAATGTAGACACGGGCCATCATCATAATGTAAAGACATGTACCATCACCACAATGTAAGGACATGTACCATCACCACAATGTAGACACGTGCCATCATCATAATGTAAGGACATGTACCATCACCACAATGTAGACACGTACCATCATCATAATGTAAGGGCATGTACCATCACCACAATGTAGACACGTACCATCATCATAATGTAAGGACATGTACCATCACCACGATGTAGACACGTACCATCATCATAATGTTAGGGCATGTACCATCACCACAATGTAGACACGTACCATCATCATAATGTAAGGACATGTACCATCACCACAATGTAGACACGTACCATCACCACAATGTAGACATGTACCATCACCACAATGTAGACACGTACCATCACCACAATGTAAGGACATGTACCATCACCACAATGTAGACACGTGCCATCATCATAATGTAAGGACATGTACCATCACCACAATGTAGACACGTACCATCATCATAATGTAAGGGCATGTACCATCACCACAATGTAGACACGTACCATCATCATAATGTAAGGACATGTACCATCACCAAGAAGTAGACACGTACCATCATCATAATGTTAGGGCATGTACCATCACCACAATGTAGACACGTACCATCGTCACAAAGTAAGGACATGTACAATCATCACAATGTAGACACGTACCACCATCATAATGTAAGGACATGTACCATCACCACAATGTAGACATGTACCATCATCATGATGTAAGGACATGTACCATCACCACAATGTAGACACGTACCATCATCACAAAGTAAGGACATGGACCATCATCACAATGTAGACATGTACCAACATCATAATGTAAGGACATGTACCATCATCACAATGTAGACACGTACCATTACCATAATGTAAGGACATGTACCATCATCACAATGGAGACACGTACCGTCATCATAATGTAAGGACATGTACCACCACCACAATGTAGACACGTGCCATCATCATAATGTAAGGACATGTACCATCACCACAATGTAGACACGTACCATCATCATAATGTAAGGGCATGTACCATCACCACAATGTAGACACGTACCATCATCATAATGTAAGGACATGTACCATCACCACGATGTAGACACGTACCATCATCATAATGTTAGGGCATGTACCATCACCACAATGTAGACACGTACCATCATCATAATGTAAGGACATGTACCATCACCACAATGTAGACACGTACCATCACCACAATGTAGACATGTACCATCACCACAATGTAGACACGTACCATCACCACAATGTAAGGACATGTACCATCACCACAATGTAGACACGTGCCATCATCATAATGTAAGGACATGTACCATCACCACAATGTAGACACGTACCATCATCATAATGTAAGGGCATGTACCATCACCACAATGTAGACACGTACCATCATCATAATGTAAGGACATGTACCATCACCAAGATGTAGACACGTACCATCATCATAATGTTAGGGCATGTACCATCACCACAATGTAGACACGTACCATTGTCACAAAGTAAGGACATGTACAATCATCACAATGTAGACACGTACCACCATCATAATGTAAGGACATGTACCATCACCACAATGTAGACATGTACCATCATCATGATGTAAGGACATGTACCATCACCACAATGTAGACACGTACCATCATCACAAAGTAAGGACATGGACCATCATCACAATGTAGACATGTACCAACATCATAATGTAAGGACATGTACCATCATCACAATGTAGACACGTACCATTACCATAATGTAAGGACATGTACCATCATCACAATGGAGACACGTACCGTCATCATAATGTAAGGACATGTACCATCATCACAATGGAGACACGTACCGTCATCATAATGTAAGTACATGTACCATCATCACAATGTAGACATATACCATCATCATAATGTAAAGACGTGTACCATCATCATAATGTAAATACATGCACTATCATCACAATGTAGACATGTACCATCACCATAATGTAAGGACATGTACCATCATCACAATGTAGACACGTACCATCATCATAATGTAAAGACATGTACTATCATCATAATGTAAAGACATGCACCATTACCACATGTGTAAGGATGTGTACCATTATCACAAGGTAAGGACATGTAACATCATCATAATGTAGACATGTACCATCATCATAATGTAAGGACATGTACCATCACCACAATGTTGACATGTACCATCGTCACAATGTAAGGACATGTACCATCACCAAAATGTAGACACGTACCATCATCACAAAGTAAGGACATGGACCATCATCACAATGTAGACATGTACCAACATCATAATGTAAGGACATGTACCATCATCACAATGTAGACACGTACCATTACCATAATGTAAGGACATGTACCATCATCACAATGGAGACACGTACCGTCATCATAATGTAAGGACATGTACCATCATCACAATGGAGACACGTACCGTCATCATAATGTAAGTACATGTACCATCATCACAATGTAGACATATACCATCATCATAATGTAAAGACGTGTACCATCATCATAATGTAAATACATGCACTATCATCACAATGTAGACATGTACCATCACCATAATGTAAGGACATGTACCATCATCACAATGTAGACACGTACCATCATCATAATGTAAAGACATGTACTATCATCATAATGTAAAGACATGCACCATTACCACATGTGTAAGGATGTGTACCATTATCACAAGGTAAGGACATGTAACATCATCATAATGTAGACATGTACCATCATCATAATGTAAGGACATGTACCATCACCACAATGTTGACATGTACCATCGTCACAATGTAAGGACATGTACCATCACCAAAATGTAGACATGTACCATCATCACAATGTAAGGACATATACTATCGTCACATATGTAAGGACATGTACCATCATGACAAAACCGAAGCCATCGCCTTGCCAGGTGATGGAACAGACTTTGCCTCTTCGGAGACGTTTGATGTTTCACTGCCTTGACTGTTGTTTTGTCTCCGGCCGACAGTGGTGAACCAAAGACTCATGCATGGTTCTTATGATCAGATGGGGATGCTTCAAAACGACTTAACTCCCACGAGAGATGATAAACCTGGAACGTTTCTGATCAGGAACCCAGCGTGAGTATTCTCAACTTTCCCATGAGATATATCTGCCGTATTGGCCGTGTCGCCTTATTGGTGGCAGTTGAAGGTTTTGGGTCACTTCGAGGCTCTCTCTTCCCCTGTTAAACTCCGCCGCACACCCTTAAAAGTGGCAAAGGAAGGAATATCATCCCCAAACGTTGACGCCATGTCCGCATGGATGGCTGATGGATATACTTGATGACATCGCGGTTGCAAATTTGGTTCATTTTTATCAAGAAAGGATACCTAGTCACTCTGATGCCTGCAGAAATATTCTGCCTGGTTGTGTGATCAGCCTTCCCTTGTATGTAACCCGTGTATTTGACTGTTAGGACCATGGCTTGCTGCATTTTGTTGCAAGGCTACTGCTAACCTACGTGGGTCTTTGCTTGATTGACATTGTCAATCGAGCTCTAACGTGCTTTGGCATTTATGTTTGTCGAGCTTTCATTGGCCAGCTCTCGCGTGTTAGATTACTGGTCTGTGTTTGGCTCGGTGCACGTGGCTCCTAGTGGAAGCAATGAATTCTACGCAGATTGTTTACAACTTGCTCAAAGTTGCCATTCTACGCTTACGTAATAAATAGGCCGGTGGAGAAAAAATCCACGTGAGCAAAGCATATGAACATTATGTCACTCCAAAGCAATTATTTACGCATTCCACAATCGGATGTAATTCCCTTTTAACCTTACAAACTGACACCCCCATTTAATGTAACTCTTTTTCATGCACCCGAACCCCCATGAAATACATGTAACTTTTGTTCATGGACTTGAATCAAAGAGATTACGATTTATATTTAAATTATTTGAAAATCTATAAAATTTTAAAAAAATAGAACTGTCATTTTTCATGCCCCACCCACCCTAAATATCTCCCCCCATTCCCCCTTCCCCAAACACAATGAATGACTAGTCCCAGTCTTCTTTTTAAATATTTAAATTATGTTTCAATGTATTTTATATATGTAGAGATTATTCCTACATCTTACATTGGATTGCTAAATTTCATATGTTTAGCTTTAGTGTGTGAGTAATCTGATTATTACCACGTTTAGCTATATCCAGCCATATTGGTTTCACACATGGACTGGGCTCTCTTATGTGATATAACCACAATGATATACTCCATAACGTCATGTAGAAAATGAGGCAAAAGCACGAATATAGATAGCGAGGAGACCCTTTACATATAAACAAACTAATGTATGCATATGGACATGTATATGAAAATGGCCGAATAACGAGCCACATGAAGTTAGTTATTTGTTACAGTGAAAAAAGCCCAACCTCTTTTAACAAAACGTGCTATTGTATGTGTAGTATTCCTATTTTAATTAATCATTACATGTGTTTTCGCAAAAGGATATCAAAGGATACACATGCACACATAACCTATCCACCAGTGTTGAAAAAAAACACACGAAAAATGGTGATCTGTTTATCTGTTCAGCAAGCCTATAACTTAACGTAGACTCTATGAATTGAAATTATTTCACACAAAAATTAACTGGCTTTTGATATATGTTAGGAAGGGACATGTTGAGAGTCTGCTTGTGCACCTCTTTCGGCGGGTGGCACCAGTCTGAAGAAATCTGGACTTGCAATACAATTATAGACTTGCATGGGATCTTTTGGATCGTTCTGTGTCACGGTTAGATTATATTAACGCTTTGACTCTGAAAATATGTTATTTTGATAGAAACAAGCAAATGCATTTAATTTGAAAACGAGCCCTATTGAGATGGACATTTCAAGCCCAATCAGTGGGAAATGTAGGCTTGCTTCATATAGGGCAATACCATTACAGTATGGGCTGGGTGGAAGGGAAAACAATATGGTCCAGGTACTGTAAGACAGACTAGCAGGCCGAGGGCTGTTTGCCGTCTAAATATTTAGGTCTAAGCAAATCGAGCCATCTGAGACAGTGACTCCACACTTGTTTGCACCCATCAAATACCAGTCACCTCTGTCACTAGTTCTCTTTCCCAAAGAAAATTAAAACTAGAAATGTCGGAAGCGTATATTTCTAAACCTACAAAATTACTATTTAGATACATGTTTGAACTTCAAAGTGATCAATGTACCTCGAGAGCAAGAAAGTAAAATTCATATAAGTGATGCTGGTACAATTTTGTGTGGCCATTGTGTAGCGTAGCATTATTATGAATATCAAATCACAATAACTTATATTTTTTTAAAATAGACGAATTTTGTGTGGGTAATGCTTTAATCTCTACATTCAGAATCCCGAAAGAAAACTAACCTCTTCATATCACCAGTGTGCCCAAGCTTGTTCTGTTATGCCAATAGTCCAAACTCGAGACGCAACAACATATCAGATTGCACTGGTCCAGGCTGACCAAAGCGGGATTCCGTCAGTTCTCCATGCGATACTCACACCGTAGTCTGCCCCTAGTCCTGCGCCATGACTATGGAATTTATATTTTTTAGCTATATTTTTTTACTAAAAGCCTAGTTAAGTCCAGATCGAACTTACAAAGTCTAGTTTGCTTGATTCCAAAACAGAAGAAGAGGACTAAAAAATATAATTATTTTAAAGAAATGTTTTCATTGACCAAGTATTAGTCTATCTGTCCCCCAGATCCTAGAAAATAAATTTGAAACGGACTCCAAGTTAAGAAAAAATTCACAAGTCTAGAATGCCTCAGTTCAGGGCCTAGATTTTCGAAACGATCTTAGCCCTAAGATTATCGTAAAGTTATCGTTAGGAAATCGTAGGCTATCGTAGCATATTTTCGAAACTATCGTAGCCCTAAGATATCTTAAGATTGTCGTAAATCTAAGATAGCCCCTTACCTGTCGTAAGCTTATTTTATTTTCATCCAAGATGGCGGCAAACTTTTCAATAGATATTTTGCCAAAAAATTAGTCTGCTTTACTTTCAAACATTGACATTTCATTTTGTAAAACTGTGTGATTCAAACTGACACTTCGAAAACACGAAGAGCGCATCAAGGATTTCACGTCAAAAATGTTCTCAATCGCGACAGCGATCCACATAACTGTGGAGTCGATAGCTTACAATATATTTCTATCCGAGTCCATGCTGAAGAAGTGTGAAACAACATACCTTTTCGATAATTTTGGTAGGATAAAAACGGAAGGTGTCGGCAGGCTACAGTTATGACCGTGACCTTATTGATAACTCAGGGGGAGGTAATCTTAGTTGAAACTCTAGTTGAGAGTGGTTTCCCTTTGCATTCGCCCGGGACACCTTGCTCAATGTTACAGTTTTCCTAAAGCGCAGTTCCGCTGTTTTCTATTTTCTGGATCGCATTTGTGTCAATGCTGTAGTCTTTATTTTATAAAGCATTTTATAATATTATATCAATCTACAAATTTAAAAAAACCCATAAAGGTTTCGCATAAGTTTTTACATCTAAAATCGTCTGGGACGGGTGGTTTTAATAATTGAATTTTAACTATACAGTGTAGTATATATTGACTTAACAAGTCGATACATGTGATCAAATATTTGAGTGTTTCCACGTATAATGTTGGTGTTTACACTAATATAAACTTCACTTTTGACATAAACACAAAAATATACAGAACACATCACTTAACATCAGACTTGAACACGCATGTTACATGCTGAACGCGCTTGCTGTTCGATCAAAGGTCTCGTCATTGTCATTTAGAATAACGTCCCTTACTTTCGTCCTTGACTTTGTTCGCGATGTGTTTATATCATAAAGTTCTGCGCGCTCACGAGAGGACCATTTGAAGAGAAAATAGTGAAGTATCTTTTGGCACATTATTTCAATTCTAATAGCTAAAGTGTGGTAACACTACACTTATTGATTATAGCATTTATTGGTTTTGAAAAATGCTATTGCATGGCACAAGAATGCTTTTTGTGTTCGGTTACTCATGGCATCTTTTTTCATAAGAACAAAACGTCTACATGTAGGACATATGTAGGATTGTACAGAATTTCACTCAAATATGTGCATGTTAAACAATGTGACCTGACAATGTGATCATGAATTCCGTGTCACTTATCTATGTTGTTGTTATTGTCAGCAGCTGAGAAATCCCCGTGACGTCACTGGGAAACACCCCGCTTTTTCAATCTCTAACACAAATGAGTTCTCTGTCAAGAGTTACGATAGGTATCGTAACTCTGAACGATCTGCGACAGGTTTACGATAGTTTCGAAAATCTATCTTATCTTAACATTAAGATATCTTATCTTTGAACGTAAGTTGTTAAGATTTATCTTAGCTAAGATCGTTTCGAAAATCTAGGCCCTGGTCCTGAAATCAAGCATTGTTCTGGACTTCATTTGAATTCCAATGAGTAGATAAATAATTTTAACTAGGAAAATTGTATTTCTCGGATGTTGATTGATTTTCGATGTGGGCATTTAAAGATAACAAAATAACATGAAATGATATATATATATATATATATATATATATATATATATATATATATATATATATATATATATGTTACAGGAAACAAGTATAATCAGTGATTAAGTCTAATAACTGGAAATTTCAGTGATTATGTCTAATAACTGATTCACTCAGTGGTTATGTCTAATTACTGGAATCTTCAGTAATTAGACATAATCACTGAAATGAACCAAGGGATTTTATACTTGTTTACTGAAAGCAGATCCCTGCCTTTTCATAATATCTTGTGAGAAGGCTTCATAATCCTGTCCTAAGCCAATCTCCTGTAAACAAACAGAATCATGTGTTGTAACAACATTTGAGAAGGCTTCGCTAGTTGTCCATAGAAATCAAAACACAACAAGATGTACAAGATGTATGAGGAAAACAGGCGTGTCCTCATCCCGAAGGAGCTTTACTTGGAATCTATTAACAACTTGCTAGAAGCCTCCATTACCACTAAGAAGACACCACACCACTACTACCTCCTGAAGAAGTATGAAGTACTGAAGTGTGGTGACGTTGACAAGTTGATCAAACGACGCCAGTCATCAGAGGAAGATCCACT